GAGTAGCTTTACTGCTTTTTGTTAAGACCAGAATTCGCCCGAGGGGACTAGAGGAAATGAAAACACAATCATGTATGTACGTATTTATTTAGTTACTTATTTTTAACGTTTATTTATTTTGAGAGAGAGAGTGTGAGCACATGAGCAGGGGCGGGGCAGAGAGAGACAGGGAGACAGAGAATCCCAAGCAGGCTCTGCATTGTAGAGCCCAACATGGGACTTGATCTCACGACCGTGAGACTGTGACCTGAGCTCAAATCGACAGTTGGACGATTAATTGATTGAGCCACGCGGGCGCCCCAATAATCTATTTTTAACCACGCCCATTGTCAGAATAACTGAAGACACCCCTAATTTCCCTGGTGGCTAAGGAGCTCTTCCATTATGCACTTCAGTTCCCTTCTTGCAGAAGGCTGCATGGACCCAGAGCCAGCACAGAGGAGAGGTGTCTGTCTCCCCAGGACCGCGTGCAGGGGTCTGGGTTTCCAAGCCCTGCTGGGACCGTCCCAGCGAACTAGAAATGTTTCCCTTGGCATCGCTGAGAATTTGTCAACGGGCTCTTCAGTTGTAGGAGAATGGGCGTTTTTATTTATTTTTTTTATTTTTTATTTCTTTTTTTATTTATATATGAAATTTACTGTCAAATTGGTTTCCATACAACACCCAGTGCTCAAATGGGCGTTTTTAAAATGCCCATTTAAAACTGGAAGAGAGGAAAGATGCCTTTACCCACCAGTGGGAGCCCAGAGGCGGTCAGTCACAGCAGAAGCTTCTCCAAGGAAAGAAGTCAACCCAGTCTTCAGATGGGAAAAGACCAGAGATTCAAAGCTTTTGTTCCCAATGATTGGTGAACAAGTTTGATGTGGGTCTCGCCTGAGAAAGGAATCAGGAAAGAGTCGATTGCGGTGGTGTTAGGTCTCTTTGCAAACCCCCGTTGTATAATTAATGCACTAAGGTCAGCCTTTGCGAGCTCAGGCAGGCGCCCTCCCTGCATTGTGATGGGACTTCCGTGGTTCAAGGGAACCTGGAAAGGTGAGGGCAGCTGCATGCTGGGCCTTTGCTCAGTGCCGTCAAGAATCTGTACGGGTACTTCAGTAGGTAATCTGTGAGGAACGTATTAACAT